AATTAACTCGAAACCAACACAAAACGCAAATATTGAATAGAGCGGGTATTTCAAATGCAAACTTGTTCAAAATATGTCTGTTGGTTGACGAAAATGCAGATTTGAGAAAATGATTAAGGGATTTTGGTGGACAAGATGTTTACAAAATGAATTTTATGTTCCGAAATGATAACGTAACATTTCAGTTCATATTAATAATTAGAGCAAAAAAGTTTTATTATTTAAAACATTTCTACTAAAAATATTTCAAAAAATGGAAGTAAAATTCCGCAATTATCTTGTAATTCAATTACCTTGATGAAAGGGCTTGAGAAATTGAATTCAGAAACTTCGAAGAAAGCTTATTCTTCGAAAATGGTCAGTGCTACGGGAAATAAGCTGACAAAACATGTCCAAGCCGGATTTGAAGCGCAAGCCCTTGTCTCAAGTAGCTGTGTTAACTCTAAGCCATACGCGCTGGTTGGTTGATTGAAATTGATTTTAACATGAAGAAAGATGAAACGTCTCAAAAATCTTTACGGAGAAAAAAGTCACCCGTTTGAAACACATTTGATGATGGCATTGGTAAAAACAAATCTGTTCACAATAAATTGTTTGTTCACTATGCGACATTTAATTGCATTACGACAACGTTCAAATACGTCTTCAAACTTGAATTGACAAGAGACAAAACCTTTTAATACTTCACCTTGCGAAAACTCTAGAAGCAACTGTATCATGGTAAAATTCTTTACATTTTAGAAAAAAAAATAACCTAATTTAAACTAAATTGAATCGATGCGATTCTTTTTATTCCGCTGCAAAAACTTCAAATAATAACTCACTTTTGATTTTTGGAGACAGTGATTGTACAAATGAATCGGAAAACAAGCCACCAAAAGAAACCAAAAAAGACTTATATGAAAGTCTTCATTCTATTGACACTCATACCACGAAGAAAACACGGATAGCCGGTTACAGTACAAGTAGCACAGAATGTTCAGACCATAGTCTTAAAAAATACAACAAAGTGTTTCAAATTATTGTCAATTTTTTTTCGGCGTGGTGCGATAAAAGGAACTGAACAAATATTTGGGGACTAGATGTTTCGACAGCCTCACTAAAACAAGCAAATTGGAAAAAAAAAACAATTTTAGCAGAAAAATTCCAATAAAAACAAAAAAAAATCAAACAAAAAATTTAAGAAATTTAGTTTTTTGATTTTTGAAAAATTTGATTCCAAAAGGCGCTAAAATACTCACAAAAACTAACGTTACCTGAGTAAAACTACGTTTTAACGTTTAAAATTAAGCTATTGTAAGCTTTTAAGCCATTAAAATAAGACTGCTCGCTCGATTTATTCGCTCGAAAAATCTAAAATTTCGAACCGGTTTGTCTTGACACTGAGAAAAGTTTTCTGAAGTTTTTCTTAATGTGGTTCGAATCCAAACTATAAGCGCTATAAGATGATATATCACTCAACCCAGTCCGATTATTATTGGTGGTATCTGATTTTGCGTGGAAAACTAAAAGAAAAACCAAAACACACCAGAATACAAAGTTCCTTCCTAATTCAATGGTCGGAACAAAAATTAAGGAATTAACATTTGTTCCGCCGAGAATTTCTAGAAACATTTCTACATTCAAATCTAAGCTTATTTGCGTGCAATCGTTTTTTTGTAGATTAGCTCAATTTGAATACCACTTAACATCGAACTAGCGTAAAACGCACCTCCGGTACTCATGATAAATCGCATATATTGGAAAGAAGATCTGCATTCTTTGAGTGTGCTTTGAAAGCACCCAATTACAGGAGTCGTGATTACAAATTTTGCAAAGATTTTATTCAAGTTTTTTATACAAATTTTGAAGAACCATAAAATTTTGTGAAGTTCTTCGAAAAATATAAAATGAAGTAAGAAACGTCACATCTGGGAAGCTAGAAGCAATTGAGCAGTCGCACCTGGACGCAAGATTTACAACTCCTGAGAGTACTCTTACAGTACCCAAATACACTGCTAGGAAATTCATATTTGGAGAAACTTCACCTTAAGTTTTCTAAAAAGAGGTTTTTTTGAAAACCAGAAAAAATTTCACAAAAATCGCCGTATCTCTTGAAGTAAAAAGATTTGAGAATTCTTAATTAGAGGCCGAATTTGCAACTCCTGAGATTACTCTAACAGCCCCCAACTACAGGTTAGGAATTTCAAACTTTGAAGAAAAAAATTAATTTAATTTTCATAATTTTTTTTTTTTTAAATCACAAAAAACGTCATATCTGGGAAACTGCAAGGTTTTGAGAAGTCGTATTTGGAGGCAAAATGCACAACTCTTGAGGGTACCCTGAATGCGCCTCACTACTGAGAACGCAATTTCAAGTTTTATGAAAAATATTTATTCACAAGTTCTCTGAAACATAGTGAGAAAATCCTAAAAAACCTCATATCTCGAATTGAGCAGACATATTCAGAGGCAAGATTTTCAACTCCATGAGAGTACCCTCACAGATTCCAATAACAGGATTGAGATCTTCAAAGTTTTGGAATTTTTTAATATCCATTTTTTTTGAAAACTTTGGAGAAAATCATTAAAAAACGTCATATCTCGAAAACTACAAGGATTTGAGCAGTCATATTTGGAGGCAAAAATAGCAACTCCTATCTTCGTCATATCTCGAAAAAAACGTCATATCTCGGAAAATACAAGAATTTGAGCAGCCATAATTAGAGGCAAGATTTGAAACTCCTGAGAGTACCCTCAGAAAATCCAACAACAGGACTGAGATCTTCAACGTATTGGAATTTTTTAAAATATAAGTTTTTGAAAAATTTTTTGAAAAAAATCATAAAAAACGTCATATCTCGAAAACTACAAAGATTTCGTTGTTCATATGTGGAGACCAGAATCGCAAAACCTGGGAAAATTCTGACAACATCCAACTATTGGGTTGCTAATTACAAACTTGATGAAATAAAAACAGAATTTTAACGGGAAAGTCGAAAAACATATCTCTTAACCATTGCAATATACGATATCGCTTAAACGTGAAAAAATTCTTTTGTTAAAGATGCAGAAAAAACACGTTGAAAAAGCTCAAACATGGCGAGATAGTGAAGCCCGCATTTAAATACATAATAATAGATTTGATAGAAGAAAGTTTAAAAAAATTAGGAGACGGGTAGACAGACATAATCAAATTAATTTAAAAAAAGCAGGTATACAGACATAAAGACTTAATTTGGCCTAAAAAAAATTAGTGAAAAACTTATGACCTTGCGGAAAACTAATTGAAAAAGTTTCTTAAGCATTGCAATATATGATATAGCTTAAACCTGAAAAAATTCTTTCGTTAAACATGCAAAATTATTATGCTTAAAAATGGGAGATAGCTGTCACTAGCATTTAAATATAGTATAAATGCAGATAAACGAGTTTCAAATACATCTCTCAAACCACAAAACACAAAAAAAAGAGCGTGAACACACATTTCTGAATTTTAAAAAAAAAGCCCACTCTTTCGATGCAAACGATGATTGGAAGACAATTATGAACTGTAACTTACATATGGTTAAATTAGTAATCCAAATTTCTTTTAGCGCTTTCCTGGAAAAAAAACTTTCCGAAAAAAAGAGCATTTGCCAGGAAATTCATAGCCAACAGACGGCTGGAAAAATCAAAGAACGCAAGGAAACAGAAAAAAAAATACTGACTTTCTCATGTCAAACAAAAAAGATGGCCTTAAACCTCTTTGAATTTCTAGAACAGTTTATGATTGACACTTTTTCTATCACAATAAACCTCTTTGAGACACAGAGGCTGAACGGGGTTAACCTTTGCGATACAACACAAGCATAAAAAATATAAGAATAGAAAAAGTTGGTCTACCAAAATTTAATTTCTTGTATGTCTCTATAGATGTTCATTCTAGGCAAACAAGCTAGAAAATTGGATTTTAAATTAGCAACGGAACACAACTCATGAAGAGGAAACAAATCCAACTACAATGAAAGTTGTTTAAAGCAGGAGCAAAATCCGTGATGTGGCAACTAAGCAACTCGGGCAGACAAACGGAAAACCAACAATTCCGGAAAAAAAATTACCCTGATCTTAAGGTGCAACGACGACTACGTTATCTCCAGGCCAAGTGGGAACGGACCAGGAAATTGTTAAGCTTCAATTACAAAACAAGCAAGAAACGCAAGTAGGATATGTAAGAAAAGTTGTTTACAGAAAAAAAGTTAAATTCCCGATTACAAGATAATTGCTCTCGCAAGTGTAAAAACTGGATCAATTTTTTTGATCAAGTGTAAAAACTGCATCAAAGTTAATTCTTTTTTCGCTTAATTCCACTTTCGAAACTAGAAGTCGATCACGTTTTTCGTGACAATAACACTTCTGCTATTGATAGTGGAGTTTGCCTTCCTTTTAACAAGAGTTTGCCTTCCTCCTATGTAAGAGACTGAACAACATTCATCGACTTCCAAAATCCCAATTGGAGAGTAAATAAGTTACTTTTTATTCCATTGAGAATTCTGAAAAAGGAAATGCACTATCGAAATTAAAAGTCATTCGTGTTTTTTTCTGGCCATTTCCACTTTCGTTATCGGAGAGCTTAATTTTCCTTAAAGGAAAATGAATTTAACTTGATTTTCTGATGTTTTCCAGAACAAGAAACCAGCAAAAAACTACACCAACTATATAAGTGACAAGCCACTGTATTAACAATGAAAATATAGTTGGTTGGCTTTCTTACTACTAATTTTGGGCAGCTAAACTTCCTGTCATCTCCTCTCATGCCTTTAACAAACTTATTCTCAAATAAACAAAAATAAAAAAAAACGATTTTTCATTTCTTCTGTAGGTCAAGGTGGTCAAATAATCTGCGCAACTGTGATAACTGGAATCGACATCACAATTTTTTAAAATTTCACTAAAAATTGTGCTTGTCAAAATTTTCGATGCTTTAATGTTAAAAAAAAAGATTTTTCTGGCAATATAACATCACGCTTCGCTTATATATATTGTAAAATAATAAAGTATGAATTATATATAGTGTAAAATAAAGTATGAATTCAAGTTTTTGAGAAGCAGTTGTAATAATTTGTTTTCAGCAATTTGTTAGTTCACTTAATCAATTTCCAGTTCGATAGTTTTTATTTCCATTGGTTCTAGAGTCACACTAAATCCATCAACAGTCCAATCTGGGTTTGCACTTGGACCATCAACGCTTTCCCATTGCAACCTCACAGCATCATCAGCGTAACGATCAGCCGAGAGTACCATTGCCTTAGCGCTTGTAACATTGAATAAACTTGAAAAGGCCGACTTAATATCAACAGTCACATTTTTCGACATCATTGAGTCTTCGCCAGAGGCAAACTGGTTTTCTAATCGCATCAGGAGACGCTTAGGGTTGAGGTCAAGTTGCATTAGTGTCAATAAATGCACGTTTTGGGGAAGAGTGATATTAGCTGACTCCATTTGTTTTTCCGAGTATCCATAAGAAGAGTCGGACTGTTGGTAAAAAGCTACCAAAGGAGGCATGAACATTTCTTCTCCTTCGAACCGATAGTGCATTGCAGCTGGTTCCAACTCAGAATATATCATTCTTTGAATTCCACGCACAATCAATCCATCGCCGAATTGCCCTGTTTCGTTAAGAGCCTCTCCAACTCCGAAGCCGTCATCTGCTAGATCTCGTCTGTGAACCATGACCTCAATTTGACCTTGGTTCATACTGGTCCCACCTTCCGATCTGTCAGTCAAAACTGTGACTTGGTCAACTGCATCCTTGATGAAGATTCTGCTGTTCACGGGGTAATAATTCTGACTAGTCGGTTCCGAGCTTTGGAAGTCCCAGGTTGGCCTGTAGTTCAGGATTCGCTCTAACATTTGTCTACCATTTGAGTCCGTGTAGAAGGTCTTGTTATTATTCACCGATGTATTATACAATATCACGATCTCTTTCGCAATTCCGTCATTTACAGGTATCGGTCCAACTAGCCACTCGAATTCGACGTAAGGTTTATCGTTGTAGATCCGTGCTACTCCAGAAAGCCAAGAAAGTGTGAAATTGAGCCTTATCTCTGTGATATACTTACCCTGCACCACTTCGCTTGAATCCGGGTCAAAGTCGTATACAAAAGGGGTTTGAATATCTGGTCTGAAACAGTAAGCACCACTTGCTGGTTCCTGGCCTTTTCCAGAACTCGCATTGTACCATGCAAAAGATGGCAGATCAAATTCACCAGTTTTTCCGTTTTTAAAGCTCAGTTGTAGCTTTCTATGGTTTAACTTTGCGTCAAAGAGTTCGTTTTCGATCACGTGATGTGAGCCAACAGTTTTTCTTGATTCCGCTAATTTAGCCGAGACTCGTTTGGGTCTAAGAGAGTCGGAATCTTCAACGGTGAAAAAAGAAGTTGACAAACCATTCACTTCTGCTTCAAAGGTCAACTCATATTGCGAGTTCGAATCATGTGACTTGCGCAGTCGGTCGAGTGACTCGGTCTTTGGCGCTGGCATTACATCACCTGTAATGGTCTGACCGCTTGAGTCCGTTATCAGGTAATCCGTGTTTGGCACCGGCATCCGAACATAATACTTAACTGGTCTAGTGAGCGGGTTGTAGACTACAACGCGGAAAGGCTTCGAGCTTTCGGTGGTCGGACATACGCTTATATTCCTGTAAGGACAGAAGTCCATGTTGTCAATGCCGTAGATGTCTTTAATTAAATCCTTGGTCTTCACTATGTGTTTATCCATGAACTGCATGTAGAAATCCTGCACAGCTTGTTTTTCAGTGCCAGTAACTGCGTCGTGATGCTGATTAACTCCAATTGCTCCCTCAAGACCCACAAGAGCCTCCGAGGAGTTCCATCTATTCACAGCTGCCAGTTGTCTTGCAATTTGCAGAAGGTTGTTCGTTCTCCTAACCACACCTTTTTGTGCTGGTCGACTAGTGAAATAACCGGTCCAGTAAGAATGCGGATCCGAAGCATACGGAAAAAAATCGTCACTTTTTGTCGTCCAGTTCACGTTTGCCTTGTTTAGCGCGTAAGTATAACACAAAGGTGTCGAGTACAATAAGTTTATATTGGATCCGTTAGCCTGCCTTGCCTTTGTATATTTGATCAAAAGATCTAAGTTATCATACCACTTGGAGGCAACCATATATTGAAAATCGCTTCCCATAGTCATGATCACATGGTTCGTTCTGTAGTGTTGGGCTTGGTCGTTCACGGCATTAATGAACTCATTCACCCTTTGTTCAACGTTGTAGCTGAACAGATTCGGATCGTCCACAATCGGCTCATCTCCGCAATCAACGGCATCAAAGCAAAACCCACCTGGCGGATTGTATCCATTGTAGAGAGCTCCAAAAAATAAATCCGAGTTGCCAGCATGCCAAACTTCTTCCATTCTCTTGTTTTGAAGTCTGTTATTTTTATCGTCATAATCCAATCGCCCAAAAAAGAACGAATCAAAGCCCATCATTGCGAACAAATTCGCTTGTTCCTTCGAATGTCCAAACGGATCAATGTGCCATGCAACTTTGGGATTTCCGCAGGCTCCGAACGTGCTATTTAGAAACCTCAAACCTATACTCATTTGGTCCACGATAGCATTATAGTGTGCCGCTCCTTCGTCGTTCATAACCCAACCTCCATTTATGAACACAAGCTGGCCATTATTAACCAAACTTTTGACTTGATCTTTTTTCGATTCCGATTGCTTTTCGAACCAATTTGAGAAGAAGTACATCTCAACATAGATGAACCGTCGGGAAGAGTCTTTTAGCAGTTCATCGACTACTGAGTCAATGATGACGTTCACGTCAGCTCTTTGGATGTCGTCGTTCGCACCGTATTGATACTCCTCCGGATTCTTCAGCCAGCCTACGTCATCATGCGTATGTGGCACTAGATGAACATGGATCATATCATCGCTCAAATCCGGACAAGAATCGTAGCCGCACGCAGTACTCTTCGGACCATTTTGACTGTTAGTTTGCCCATGCGGTTTGCAATAAGTTGACACAACGCAACTTACAACTAGAAACGAAATTAAATTCACTAGTTTCATTTTGAATGCAACTTTGCACAAATGCGCTTTACTTGTCTTTGACAGACTATTTTGAACAATAAATCAAATTTCTTCTGCCACAATGTTTGAATTTGGGGGCGTCTTGTGTCATTAACAGTACAAATACCAATTGAACTCAAAGTAAAACTACAGGTAGCTGATGTTTGCTTTTGACACACCTCACCCAGCATTAAAACGCGTACGGTCACCTAGATTTTATGACCCGAATCGAGCGTAAATGCTCGCCAAAGCTTCCAGTCGCCATTTAGTTCTAACTTTTTTCCGTTCAGAGAGATTTTTTCTTTCGTCTACAAAAAAATTCTTTGTTTTTATTTTGGACATTGTTGACCCAAAACTTTCAGCAACAAAGATTAAAAACCCAGTTCAGCTAGTACTGTTATCAATTCATTCGATCTTTTGTCGACGAAGGGCTTCATCAGAGGTTGGAGAAGCCCCCTCTCTCGAAGTATAGGGGTCCCTTCTTGGTGCTATTGCATCCCATTTTGTTTGACCAAGTTTTAAAGCACTTTGGGCGCATAGATCCGCTAAATTTGAGAAATAGCTCGGAAAACCATCTGTTGATCTAAAAACGACAAAAAACTATTTGAAGTCCATCATCCTCTTTGCCCTCGAGAAAATAATAGATCCGCCCTGCTAGTGACAAATTTGATTTGAAATGTTTTCCAGGAATTCTGGTTAGACCAACAAACAAAATGCAAAACGGCCAGTTAGTTTAGTTTTCCAGAGTTTCTTTAATCTAGTTTGATATACCGGCGCGGAGGCAATAAGAGGCGCCATAAGGCTTCCAATAAGAGCACTTCATCAATTTATTGAAATGAAACTACATCTAACAAGCTCATTAAACAACTTTTTTTCAAAATTACGATAATAAATTCTTTCCTTAAACCACACTTATTGATTCTGATTCCTTAATCGAACCGAATATTACAAAATAGAATAAAAATTGCTCTAAATTCTTCAGGTTAAACCATTAGAACTGAACTTTGACAACGTTTTGGCACACCGGTACTAATTTTAGAAATTCAACTAATACAATATTTTGTTTAATTATACAAAAATTAATTATACGAGGTCAGCAACCGTATGCTCCTTTAACTTAATAATTCATGAACTAATAACTTTAACTGAAAGGCGTTTCCATCAATTGCTTTCCCGGAGAGTTCAATTTTCGAAGCTTTTTTGTCTGCTAATGAATCTTTTGTAATGCAAACTACTTCAGCTGAGCTGTATTTTTCTAAAGATTTCTCCAATTTCCTTAATTAACTCTGGCGGAGAAGATGTTATTATCTTCGGAAAAAGAATAAGCTATTGAGCAGTTTATATCAATGTCATCATTCATTATGGCCTATATAATCTAAACATAGCCAAGTAAACAGAAAAATATTGACTTGTTTTTATTTCAAATTTCAAGGAAAAAAAGATACCCCTATAAATAGTAGTGACTCCTAAAAAAATTCATGAATGGCAATTTTTTTAACACAGAGGCGAAGCAAAAATATAACCGATAACACTACCGGGAAAAACTGAATGAGTAAAAATTTGAGTCTACATAATTGCTGGGTGACGCAAGCCAATTATGATGCATTGGCGGTACCAGTCCATTTGAAAAAAAAATTACCAACTAACATGCCTCAATTTATACAGAGGACGCATTTTAACTAGTATACGAAAGAGTTCATTAAAAATATCCGACCTTGCCAAGTTTCGAACCCTCTTATTGTTGCGGGTCTCCTTCCCTACCTCTACGCTACAGATCCATGATACCTTGAAGCTAAGTGCTATTTGTAATATAATCACCTGTGATAATATCCTTAGCATTGGTTGTACTTAATAGCCTGTTATTAATTAAAATGAACACGTTCAAAATGAACACATTTTGTCGCAACAACATTTGCGACATAGGTTGGAAAAAAAGAGTTCATGCTATCACTGAAGCTTTGCTTGCGTAATAACTTTAACCCAATATGAGAAACTTTAAAAAGTAAAAATTTTCATTTCGCCGTGAAATTTGATTAAATTCCGTTTTCGAAAAAAAGTCGATCACGTTTTTGATGGACTTTACATTTTTGCTATTCCACAGTGGAATTTGCCTTCTTTATAAGTAAAGAAACGAGCTGCACTTACATATAAATTAAAAAACAAACCGCGAAAAAGTAAATTTGAGCCTGCACAAATTTCAAAACTTTTCCTGAAAAAAAACCATCGTGACCTATATAAGAGTCTTAACCACATTCATCGACTCTTAGAACTGGATCAATGCATTTTTCTATTACATTGGGATAAATAAAGAGTAAAAAAACGTTCAACATATTTTCGTGCTAATTCCGCATTCAAAAATTGGAGAGCGCAGTTACCTAAATTTTAGCAGACGAAATTGAATTGAACTCTTCAAGTACAGATATTATTAAGTGCATCAATAAATTCATTAAATGACTTAATTTTTGTGGAAACCTTAGTTTTGAAATTCACAGAAAAAAAGATTCGGAAACAAAAAAAAAGATTTCTGAAACAATTTATGGCTGAAAATTTTTTGATAACATAAACACACTTTTTTACATCATTTGAGAAACTGGATCAAAAGTTAACACTTATTAATCGCTGAGAAATTCGATAATTAAATTCCACTTTCCAAACTAGAAGTCGATCACGTTTTTCGTGACCCTTGCACTTTCTCTGTTCGATTATGGAGTTTGTTTTCCTTTTAATAAAAGAAATAAACTGAACTTAAAACACAAAACACAAAAAAGCATATATGAGCCTGAACAATTTTTGAGACTTCCTGAAACAAAAAAAACATCGCGACTTATAAAAGAGTCCTCGCAAGTACTCGATTTAGACATCAAAGTAAGGTCTACCAAAGACTGACCAATTAGGCTGCAAGTGGCAACACATTAAAATTCTACAGGCAAAAAACGGCCTTGAGTCGCGTAAAAGAGCCTCGCTGAAAAAAATCAGCTGAGTCTGGAATGTGGGAAAATAGGTGCACATTTATAAGGAACACTTTATTTTGCGACTACGGTTAGAAAAAATAAAGTTCGTAAAAATACACTCCGCTGATCGCTAGAGTAAATACTAGCCAAAATAACAAAAATTGGATCAATTAGCAAAAAGATAATTGATTATTTTGGGGCTTCTGGAAAATAAGTCCATTTTTAAAGCTTAAAGTTACATTTTTAAAGCTTAAAATTACAAAGTTTCGCGCCATTTGACTTTCGCAATTGGAGAGCGTACTCCTACAACTCAAACGAATTTGAAATAAACTTCAAAGCCAGAAGCCAAACGTGAAAAAATTGTGATCATTTAAAAAAAGCCAAATAGTCAAGGAACGCAAGTAAACAAAGAAAATATTGCGTTAATTTTCTAAATTCTCTACCAATTTCGACACAGATGAAAAACGGAGCTTCTCATCATTTGCAGTGCAACGAAGGCAGAGCACTGCAAGTAAGTGAATAAAAAAGAATAGTCGTACTATTGCACAACGCTCGCAAGTGTAATAAAAACTAACAAAATAAGAGAAAACTAGAACAATGAATCATTTTTTATTCCGCTATGTAAGATGTAAGATGTAAGATTCTAAAACCACTTTCGAGCCAAAAAATCATTCACGCTTTTTCGCGCAATTAAAAAGACATCAAGTTAGCAGCGAAGGATCTAATTCGAGCACGCTCAATTTTCAAGACTTTTCCCTGATGTGCACATCGTTTATTGACATCTTAAAACCGCATTTCAGAAATTTGTTAAGGAGAACAATATAGGAAGCTTGTAAAAAGGTGTTCCTTGGTTGAAAATTAACATTTATATTAATCTTACAAATCTATTATAATTTATGTTCTTGATTATATTTGGAATATATTTCTTAAGCCACGTGAAATGGGCAAGGCAAACCTGTGCTACGTGATTATCACTAGTGATGAACTCTAAGAACCCCTCCATCATCCAACTAGAGTTTGATTCTCCCGGGTGTACCCGAGCACTCACAACCACGCCCCTCTTGTCCCGGTCAGCAACTGAAACAAATTAGTTCTAAAATCAGCGATCACATTGTCGGCCATTTGCACTTCTGGTGCCCGAATCAGTTCTCATCTGATTGCAGGTTCAATTCGCATGAGGTCTGCAATTTACGAGGTGAACTCTTAAAACATAGGCTCATTAATATAATCTTATACGACAGCTACTCTCGGCTTTTTCCAGTCCCCCCCTTTCAAATTCAATTTCGAAAAGCTTAATTAACGTTGTCATAAGGCAATGATATTTGGTGTGGTGAACAAATCGACAACTGTGAACAGACTTGTTCTTCATACTTTACAGCGTAACATCACGCATTTAGCTGTAATAACACGTAAAACAAACATAAAACTCGGTTTTTTGAAAGGGGGGACTGGAAAAGAGCCCTATTCTCGAGTTAGCTATTAAAAATTCACCTCCGGGTTAGGCCTCTGGCTGTTTAACTAAAAACATAGCCAACAGGTAGCTGAAAAAAAATCAATGAACTGTTATTTTTTTGAGCCAATGAACCAAAAGAAATTGACATTTTTTTGATAAGTTTCATTTTTCGAATTGCGAAGCAAAAAATACATATCAATTTGAAGCTCTTTGAACTTCACGCAACTTTACGACACACAATTGCTTGTTAAACTAACCCAATTCGAAAAAATTAGAAAACTAGATCAATGGATTTTTTGCTGGAAAGTCTGAAAAGGAAAAACAAAAACATAGCCGACAAAGTGTCAACGAACTCAAAGAGACCAAAAAAAAACGGATTAAACTTTTCTGTAAACTGTTCATTCCGCTGGAAAATAAGAAAACTAAAATCCACTTTTGAAATTAAAAATCGATCACAGTTTTTGGAACTATTTCTCTTTTGAACCAAAAGAAATTGAACCCAATGAACCAAAAGAAATTGACATTTTTTTGATAAGTTTCATTTTTCGAATTGCGAAGCAAAAAATACTTATCAATTTGAAGCGCTTTGAACTTCACGCAACTTTACGACACACAATTGCTTGTTAAACTAACCCAATTCGAAAAAATTAGAAAACTAGATCAATGGATTTTTTGCTGGAAAGTCTGAAAAGGAAAAACAAAAACATAGCCGACAAAGTGTCAACGAACTCAAAGAGACCAAAAAAAAACGGATTAAACTTTTCTGTAAACTGTTCATTCCGCTGGAAAATAAGAAAACTAAAATCCACTTTTGAAATTAAAAATCGATCACAGTTTTTGGAACTATTTCTCTTTTGCTGTTCCATAGTGGAGTTTACCTTCTTACTACCAAAGGAAATGATCTTAGCTTAAAAAACCTCGAAAAAGAAAATTTGAGCGCGAACAAATTTCAAAATTTTCCTGAAAATAATCATCACGACCTATGTAAGTCTTCACTACGTTCATTGACACATCGTCGAAGCCAAAACTCATTTGATCTTTTTATTCGCACCAATTGGCTTTTCTTAAGAGGAGAGCGTAATTGAACTCCTTTGTAATTGAAAATTAAAAAGCATAATTGAAATTAAAAGGCAGAAGTCAAACCACGAAAGATCAAAATTAGCGTGAATAAATTCAGAGACACTTTAAAAAGTCCACCTGTTTCTGCGCCTGTTAACTATTGAAGTTTGATACAACACACCTATTTTTTTGATAGACTTGTAAAATTTCGACCATTCATTGACCTTTTATATACGGCTACTAATGTTGTGCAAATTAATACAGTAAGTGTAATTTGGTATACTTAGCTGAAGAACGGAAAAACATTTAGATCGTAGTTCCTTTGCTTTCGGTTTAAAATCTGCAATTTTTTTTAAAGATGGGTTAAAATCTGCTGATAGGAACATATTCTACAAAAATTTAGAAAAGTGTCAACGAATCATGGAAACCGAACAAAAAGATTGACTTATTTCTTGAAAATTTCGAAAATCAAAACAATGAAAGCAAGAAAACAAAAGCCTGACTTGATTTCGAAAACTATTCAACTTTCAGTTTTCAAAGAAAAAAAATATCCAACAGACAGTTGGAAAAGAGTAATGAACGCAAGTAAACAAAAAAACACTAAAACTGTCGAAACAATCTCAACTTTTGAATTTCAAAGAAAAAGTTAGATACCCTTTAAGCTCTTTGAATTTCTAGAACAGTTTATTATTGGCGTTTTTTGATACTATTAACACAGCTTGAAAAAACTCGATCAATAAATAAGTTTTTATTCCGCTGGGAATCAAAAAAATTATGTTCCACTTTCGAAACTAGAAATTGCGCCATTTCCGCGTTCGTAATTGAGAGCGAAATCCACCTAACTTAGCAGATGAATTTGAATTGAAATCAAAAATACATGCTTCTTATTAATCGTAAATTAACAGCGCAACTTACGTAACATCTAAGAAAAAAATTTGAATTGAACTCAAAAAAACATAAACACAATCATAAATGCACTAATATACATGAATGCACATCTATAGCTCAATAATTTTAAGACTTTCTTGAAAAAAAAACATCAAGACCTATAAAGGAGTCCTCACTACGTTCAGTGACTCTAAAATTGTTAAATCATGTTTAAGCATTAAAATTTCACGAACATTTCACATAAACAAAACCCTATAAGAGAAAACTGGACAAGTAGGTAATTATGATTCCGCTGGGAAGTCTAAAAGTCAATCATATTTTTCGCACCAATTGCACTATCTTTATTGGAGTTCGTAATTTGCCGTCCAATATTAAAGTAAGAGTGAATTGAACTTCAAACACAGAGGCGAAGCGGAGCTTCGCAACACATGCGATGCAAAAACAATTTCTGAAAAATTACGTTGAAAATTACTTGAAAAAAATTCTGAAAAATTAAATTGAAAAAATAACTTAAAAAGTTGAAAAAAAAACAGCTACAAAAACTTCATGATTATATAGAAAAAATTCATTATGCAGTAGAAGTTGACTGAGCCGTTATAAAATAAATTGAAACTGCTCAAATATTAAAAAAAAAGAAGCGAAAAAAAGCCCAAAATCTAACTTGCAAAATTTACAAATTACTGAGCTTTCATTTATAGAAGAAAAAAAACGGCTTAAATTGGAACAAAACATATGCTCTAAAAGTAAGACAATAAAAGCCCTATCAGCTAAAAAAAATCATTTCGAAAAAAAAAACGGAAAATGAACCGACAGTAACTAGGACGAAAACCACGAACCCGAAAAGAAGACATAATTTTGGAAACGGGCTTTACCTAATTTCGAATTAAATTAGAGTAGTTTTATCTGAATTTTCAAGAAATTGAGTGTCCAAAAGGTAAAGAAAGCAAAAGTCAAATTGGAAGTAATCCAATTATCAGATTTTTCCCTGAAAAAAAATCAACACGGCATATTAGAGTGTATTCACTGCGTTCATTGATACTAAATAAACATGACAGCTGTCAATGAATTAATAAAAATAAATCTACAAGAAATCCGCTTGGCCAATCAAAAACCAGTGAGAAAAATTTGCCGGAAAAATTTCTTCAAAACGAGATCAATGAAAGTTTATATGAGGAAAAAACTAAATTTATGCTTTTTATGATCAATGAAGCTGGATATTCTTCATTAACATATCAATTCTTTCTTCACAGCGAGATCCTTAACCACTCCCTCTGAGTACTATGCCGCCGTTCAAATCCTTGGATAAGCGCTGTAAACTTCCCTGCAAACTGTCGCACTTTTATACACACCTACTTCAATTTAGTTGTAAAAAAGCTTCGTTTTATGATTTATGCTTGCCACAAATTGCAGCCTGGCAAGTCATAAATCAAATCTCTTGTAAGAACCAGTCGAAAATTTGAGACAAAAGAAATATACTTGATCTGTCTTGCATTTCTGAGGATATGAGATTTATCACTGATAAATTTTCATATTCATCGGAGGCTTAACTCCGGTCGAAATTGTATTCTGGTTATCTATAATTGAGCCTGCAGAAAACAAGAAAAGACGAGCTGATCATATGCAAAACAATAGAACCAAAATCATCTTCATTTATTTTTTTAAGTTCGAATAGCCGAAATAATTTTAACCTCAAACCAAATTGATCAACAAATACACCGACATTTTAAGTGATACTATTCGGCTTTTTCCATTTTCGGCCATAGCATCAATCACAATCTGTTGTTTATTGCAGGTTCAATTGCCTTCAGACTCAATTACCACGGCCCTTTATAAACGGGGAGACAGTTTAATATCCGAGCTTTCATCGCGATCACTTACATGTGTCTGAAAAATCATGCTGCCAGAGAGCTCTGTCGTTTATTGAGCTTACTCAAGCTGATAAAGAGGGCATGAAACTAATGAATATGAAACAGAAAAGCTAAAAAACGTTGACAGAGTTTTCCCAGATATAGAAGTACTCAAATTGGTTAAACGCAGGGTCAAGGGTGGTTACTTTCGAAGCTTTAATATCAGGTTTTTCTAAAGATAGAACGGCTTGAAGTAATTGTTTCATGATGTTTTACAGTAGGGCATGTGACAACTTATTGTTTTCACTCGTCTAAATGAATGAAAATTTGTACGAAACTGTTTAAGGTACGAAACTGTTTAAGTACAGGTTCGATAAAACTTTTTTGAAGTATCTGGCTGAACAAGAAATAATTTTGAAAGCATTATTTGACCTGCTTGTTGTAACTCCTATGATACACTATTTATTGAAACAACCTTGCAGAAAAATTCAGCAGCTTCAATCAATGTCTCAAATTTGTTCTTTGAGTAATTTCTAAGGCACTTAATTTGACTGTGTTCAAGAGCGCAAATACAAACATAGCCAACAGGTTAAGCGTACTAAGGCAAGGAAGTCGCAAAAAAAACTGATCGAGAACTTTCAAATCAAGAAAATTAAAATATATATATATATATATTTAAAATCAGAGTTGGTAAATGTACAACTAGAGCAACTTTCATCTTTGATGAGAACTAATTCAATCAAAAGCTTTGTTTTGGAGCCCCAGTTTTGAAAAAACGCTGGAACAGCTCACCAGATAATATTTACAAAACAGAAAATCGGCCGACAGAA